AATGCACAGGGCCACAAATGCAACCCCTGCAAGTGCAAAATCCCACAAATGCAACCCCCAGAAGCCGAAAACCCTGCAAATGCCACCCCAACAAATGCACAGGGCCACGAATGCAACCCCCATAAATGTATGGTCCTGGAAATACAACCCCCATTAAGTGCAAAGCCCTGCAAATACAACCCCAAAAAAGAGCAAAATCCCCCAAACGCCACCCCCAGAAGCCGAAATCCCTGCAAATGCCATGCCAACAAATGCACAGCCCCGCAAATACCACTTCCAAAAGTACAAAGCTCCCCAAATCCAACTCCAACAAATGCACCGAGCTGCCAAGTGTTCCCATTCCTCATCACCTCGTCCAGCAAAAGCAAATTCTGCGAAGGAATTCAGCTGAAAAGGAAAAGATTATTTTTTTTTTAACTAGAAGGTTACATTTTTCTACCTTTGTGGTGTTGGGCCGCCCTTAGAATACAAAACAGAAAGGAAAAGGTGCACGAAATAACATACCCACTGCAAAACGCAAGATATTTTTGCTAATTAAGTGGGGTTTTTGGCAAGGTGCTGCTGTTGCACCTCCTCTGGTAAGAATAAGGGATGCAGCGAACTGCCACAACCGATGCTGTGCATTAAACATCCATTTAACAGGCAGCCGTCTTCGTAGGCAAAAATTTGGCTTTTAAAAGTGAAGACGAAAAGGGTGTTGGGAAATTCAGTGCAATCTTTCACCTGATTTCACAAGCAGGTGCGAAGAAGCTGCAAATCCAACACGGAAATCCCCAACAATGACATTGCAGTGGAGTGACGTTCAATTAATTCACCTCTGCAGCGTGAATGTTGGATTAAATCTGAAAAGAGCTGAATTAGGTGTCTGAAAAGCACTGGTAACTTTCTGTGCTTACACATACGTCTCTTTTTGGGGTTCAAAACGCGATGTCCTACTGCACTGGGTGGTGAAACGGGGGATTTGGGGGTGCAAGAGCTGTTGAGCAGCTGCCACCGTCAGTCTCCAGTGTCCCAAGCTGGTGCGGTGGCTGTTGGGACACGCGGCAAACCCCACCACAACCAGCACACGAGGAAAGGCCTGACCTGGAGCTGTAAAGGGACTGGGGTGACCACCAGGTCGGTGCTTCACCAGGGAACATGCTGAGCTCCTGCCTTACCTTTATCCAAAGCCAAACAGTCCTGGGAAGGACCTTTGTAGGCCACGAAGGGGATTTTGAAACGCTGCAGAGGTACCGTGTCCCACAAAACGGCACTTTTTCCAACCACCTTAATGCCTTGAACGCAAACGTTTTTCAAGTATCAAACGCTGGTACTAGGCAGGATCAATCGAACACGTTGTGGTTTAGCATCCGTCCCCGCCCCCCACCCCAAAACGGTGCTTTGATCAAATTTCTGCAACTTGTTCTATCTCAAGATCCCAATCGATATGTTTTTATTATTAATAAAAAATGCATTAAGTTCTTCTAGTGACTATGTGCCAAACCACCAATTTCAGCGAGACCTGGATCAGTCCTACCACCTCGCCAGAAATTAGATTTCTAGAATGAAACCACCCGAGGTAAATAATTAACATCCTTTTCCTTATAAATGAAAGTAATTCGGTACGAGCAAATCATTTTAAAAGTCTGTTTAAAAAAGTAAAAAAGCTCCCAAACGAAGATCAGGGTTTTTTCTACATAGAGAGACGAAGAGTCCCACCGTGGGCCATGGGGAGAGGTGGATATCACAGGCTGAACCACTTCTAGCATCAAGGATCCCTTTCCCAGCCGGATTGAGAGCCCAGACTCGATCCTCGGACCACACTCGGAGCAGCTGACCATTTTTTGAGCTGTAGGTCAACTTATTTCTCAACCTTTTTTATTTTTTTTCCCTTTTTTTGCAAGCTCATGCAGATCTCAGCAGAAGGAAGATTCACCCTCACTCCCTTTGATCAGCGCTCATCCATTCCGTCAGCAGCTACACGTACAACGCAGGAACATCTCTGCTATTACAAAACTCCTCACGTCTTATTTCCTCCCTCCTCCCCTTTCACACAACATAAAAAGCTTCTTTCGCAGTTTATCAAGTCCCTCCGCTGGTACCAGCTAAAAAAAAAGGGAACCAAACTTAGAGGAACTCTTCCAGGAAAGCAGAAGAATTTTTAAAATAAGTCATTCAAAGCTAAAAAAAAAAAATATCCAGAACTTGCTAAAACACCCTCCCGGTCCCTGCGGAACCGGACTGGAGTCCTTTATCTGCTGTCAGATGAAATACTCTGGGGCAGATATATTTTAATGCAAAGGAATTTTGTTCTCTGGTAATTAACAAATGGTTAGTGGGAAGATAAACTCATTGCGAAAACAGACGATTTATGGTCCAAATTTTTCTGGCCTTACCGGCACACATGTTGCCACTAATTTAATCCAAGTCTCACTAGCAGTCAGATTTATGAAGTAATTTAGCATCCAGACTTAGAGAGAAGAGTGGACCATGTTAAGCCAAGGCACACAGGGCTGCTAAGAAAGAGACAACCGTAACTTGATTACAAATACTAAAATATATCGAATTGAAAATACAGGAATTTCTCATAACTCCAGCACTAAATAATTCACCAGCATACCAAAAAGACACCATTACAAAAAATGACAGCCACACAGTTAATCCGGCCTTTCATACAGACCAGGCAGCTTGCAGCTTTTCTTCTCAGCCTAGATAAAACAAGCCCTTCCCCCCTTGATTGTCCACACAGGATAAATTGTGATAAAAAAAATCAACTCTGTGCCACAAAGTCCCCAGACCTAATATCTCAAGAGGAGCTGGCCTGCTGCTTCGACTGGATAC